TGGCAGGTGGCCACCAAATCTACCCAGACCTCCTCATAAAATTGTAAACATTCCAGTACCATTACAACGCGATGAGTTTCATATGATTCTCTCGCGAAATGTCATTATTCTGTGTATAAGAATTTGTGAGGCCATTGGTAGGCATACAACACAACACATATGTGGTTAATTTACGAGAAAAAAACATGCGAGTAATTTTTCCAAACTTTCAAATACTCGTGTTCGCACACCATTGATGTTACTTTTTATGTTCAAATACCCTACATGAGATTCGTTGATCGGGTTTACTTACTTGAAACTATATTCAAGGTTTATGAATATGAGTTCCCTCCCATTGGAAATGAATGAGATCTGGATGAATTTGATAATACACATACAATACGGCCAGATTATGCACTACGACGAAAAAAATCGGTCGTCCACAGTCAACCCGAATTTTTTGTGACGAAGATTTGGTTGAACATCAAGAAAGAACCGGACAATCGAAATTATGCTCTATCTATATGTAGGAATCTCGGACACTCGAAGAACAAATGTCTCAATCACTCAGGCTCACGTATCAATTAAATGAGTTTTTTTCATTATTTCTTTTTTAATTAACAACACATATTACTCATATTTACAAGCAGAAATAACACTCTAATATGTTTATCAAACTATTTTTTTCTTCTTTCTTCAGAAAACCATGATTTCTAACCATTTTCAACAACATTTTTACCCCGCTTAAAATAACTTATATATGTTGATATTATAATCACCTTAAAGATAAATTACAACACTACACGTTTATAATTAAAAAAAAATCATTTTCCCACCCAAAAATAGTATCCGAACAAGGCTATGGACACTAAGGGAGGGTAGAGAATCTATTGTTCTCGCACTTTGCAGGCCACGAAGTCCTTCATAAATCTTGCGATATTTTGGATCATAAAGGCTACCTCGCGCTTCGCAATGCGCGAGGTCATTTTATAAAATTATTTTATCGATTTACCTGAAAGGATTTAACATACGGTTTGTAGGTCACAAAATCGTTTGATGTGAACGATTTAGGGTTATTCTTTTAAATAATGTCCATAGAATCATATTTTTTTAAATTATTATTTATTTAGAGTTTTTAATATAAAATTGTCAAATTCCCACCACTAGTACCATCGTAGCCTAGACTACCTTTCAATTTAAATTAACACTATCTAGAGGGAACATTAGTCTTCGGTATTCCCATTGCCATTATAAACATGCCACCAGCTTGTTGTTATCTCCCCATCTTATAATGGAGACTGTTGCAGACATATTGGACATACCAGTGAACATCAAATCCCAGTCACTTCATCAGTTTACAGTAGATATGAGAGAAAAACTAACCCATAAAATTACATCTCACCGTTAACTTTATATGTATAAGTTCATATATGGATCGAGGAGGTGTTGGGTGCTCGTATCTCTAAAAATTTAAATTCTTATATAATTCAAATGTTTTCTTTTTATTTTCTTTTGTTGATCTAATTTCACATCCTCTAGAATTTTGAGGTTCCGCACTACTTCAATTTCTAATATAATTTCTCAAATTCATCTCTTACATAAAATCTTGTTTGGTTTTGGATTGAAAATTACATTTTATGGCACCCCATTTGGATTGTTTCACTGGTGAGCTAACGTTTTCCAAAGTTAGTTTTGTGTGCTTGTCATGTGAATTGGCTTGATTGGACATGAGGAAAGTCATGGAACTAAAAGATGAAAGATCATATGGAATGCTTATAGCCCAACAGTGGTTTATATAATTTACAAATGAATAGGATAGGCGTTGCGTAACATGCTTATCTGGGGCATTTGATGGTAGGTTTTGGGGTAGGCCTCTTGGTCTTTTATTATCTCTTATGAAAAAGATGAGTCTACTGGGAATTTAATATCAAGCTAGCTGAGAAAAAACTATAGAGTAGACTGAACTTTTAATATGAACTTTTATGAACTGTATGATCCGTCAGTTCAAATAAACGAACTAATTGACCATTTAGAGAAGAGCATACTGATAAAGAACAGCGGCTCTAATAACAGTGGAATCCATTTCTGAATCTTCTTTTGTCAAGTATCTTGATAGAATTTCCATGAACATTCACCGAGAATTGCCGATGAAAAGAAATGATGAAGCTAGATTTAAACAACAGTTGCTGCTGTCATTGCAGATACTTGGGAGAAACATTTAAAACTGAGTTATTAGTCCTAAATGCAACAGCCTTTTGTTTTGGTTACATAACGCAACAGCTAAAGATTAAGTATATTAAATTGCTTTGGGTAGGTATTAGCAGAGTTTCCTTTACATTTTTATTTTACTCAGTTAATAATTCACCTGTTGTAACTGAATTAGTGTTAACTTTAAAGTGCAGAGGTTTAAAAAAAATAATTAATTACAGAGGAGTTTTATGAAGGTTATTAGATTGTTTTGATGTTCAGAATGTTTCAATTTTTTCGTATCTTTGGGTTTAATATTTTTATTTTATGTATAAGTTTTTTGCGACTATTGTCTCTAATTTTCTCTTTGAATACATTGTAATTTTGATTTCTTCATTTTTATTAATAAATTCAGTTATCACTGTTAAAAAAAATAATTAATCACTTATAACTAATTTTAATTGGACACGTGATAATTGTTTTAATTCTGTTTTTAGAATAAAATATTTATCCTCTGATACGCTAAATAATTATTATACTGAATCTAGTGTTAATGTTAGTAGATTAAAACACATGTTTTAATTGTTTATAATATATTGATTGATTAATTCAGATCGGATGATATAGATGTTTATTATGGAGCGATCATCTCAACCAATGTTCTCCGTTTATAATGTCAAAATCCAAATCACTTATCTTACTTAAAAAATCTAATATCTTATCTTATTAAATTAACTAGTTGTCACTCGAGGATCTATTAATTTTGAGTTTTAATAACTCAAATTTTATTTTAAGAGAGTATCTATATCTTCATCTATACTTTTAACTCATTATTTATAAAAAGATATTTTTTTGAAAATTATTTTACACATATGAGGCAAGGAAAGACAATTAATAAAAAATTTTACTATTTAAAAAAAATAAGGAGTTAATTTCAGTATTTGATTTCCTTTAATCCAACGAACCAGAAAATGTTTAAAACTAAAAGAGTTTTACATATTGTAAGTGGATCCTAACGCTATATATATATTATTAAATATTTATTTATTTATTTTTGTTTGAAATCTCCTCTTGGAGTTGCATGAGCTCAATTATATTTGGAGTTAAGTATGACTTTGAAATTCTCATAATATTATTGTTTCTTATTATAAGATTTGAATTCAAAACTTAATTTAAAGAATGTCAAATTATTTATCATTGATAATAAATTATGTTTTTAGAATAGTTTATCATTAGGGAAAGAGTTATAAGTATAATTGTAACAAACATTCAAGGAAGCATTAACATTATGATCCGAGGGGTGATTATTTCCCATTATTTGAGAATCGGCCTCATTGATTGATAAATATTCATGTAGAAGAATTCTCCATTAATATGCTTTTCCTTTCTCCTTTCCCAATTGTTAATACATAGAGTTCTCCATTAAGAAACTTTGATAATTGTTATTTTGGATTAGGGAGTATATGTCAAGTATGAACTGATGCATTAGAGAAAAAAAGAGAGGAGAGAAATGGGAGACATCCCCTGATATTATTATTAGATGCAAGGTCACGGTCATTCCTTAGTGTACCCTTGCTATTTTCATCACCTTTGTCTTTTGCCTCCATTCCATCCCCATTCATTAAATGCTCTTTGCCTTCCCCTTCTCTTTCCATTACCTTTTTCTCACTGATCATCTTGCTTTTCACCTTCTCTTTCTCCAATTAGGGTTTCCCCCCTCCCTCTTTGGCTGCAGCCATAAAATCTGCTGGGGTTGTTTAGGTTTATTTATCAGCAGTTTTCCACTGCCCAAGGCTGCCCTTATCTTGGTAGGAGAGCAAACCACAATCCTCCTCACAGCTCATTCATTTAAGGGGAAAAAGGTACTTCCCTTTTTTATTCTTCTGATCATAAACCGCAGATCCAAGTTCAGTGTACATTTATGATGTCTTGATCCTGCTTTCTTCTTTTATGTGCCAATACTTCTTTTTTGTTTTTGTTTTGCTGGCAAGTCAAGCTAAGCTAAATAGCTAATAGCTAAAGGCTCTAGTTTTGGGCTTTGCTTATGTTCAAATACACCTTAAATATACCTATGAAAGGTTTAATCTTGTCTTGGTGAATTTTTGCACTTCTCAGATCAGATCCCATCCTTCATTCCATTGCTGAAAAGGATCGATCCGATGGCTTTACAGCTATTCATGCTACTAAATTTTCAGTACTACAAGTTAATTATGGATATTATATGTAAAAGAAAAGACAAACATAGGAACCAAAATTAATGGTGGCAGGCACAGATCCTTGTGTGGATCATGAAGGTCCAGTTCTTGAATTGGACCCTTTTTTCTCCCTCTAAACGAACAAGAACTTAGCAAAGAAGGAACAGAAAAAGAAGGCAGAAAATAAATCAGTAATAATTAATGTTCACAGAGTTAAGAGCTTTATGTGTAATTGCTTATGCATGTATGTTTCAAAAGGTTCTCCTGTTGTTTGTCTCTGAGAGTGTCAGAAAGGTGGGCTTAAGATTTTTTTTTTCTTACTTTTAAACTTCAAAAGTTTTGGACTTATTTCCTTTGGTAAACTAGCTGGTTAGATTGTAGGGATACTGAATCATACGCAAGATACGTTCAGGAAAACCCTAGTAGCTATAGACAGATTCTTGAAGAGTGAACCCCAACCCCAAGTTAATTACGAAAAAGAAAGGAAAAACTGATAATATCATGAAAAATACGCAGAAGAAGTGTAAATGAAAATATAGTGTCTAAAAAGTCAAAACCTTTTAAGAATCCCATTATTAAAGAACTAAAAAAAATCTCCGCTGACGAAAACTTGTTCTTGTTTGATCTGTACACAGCAGTGAAAATGGCTTCTTCCGGCTCTTACAATTCACCCTGCGCTGCCTGCAAATTGTTGAGGAGGAAATGCATGCCGGGCTGCATCTTTGCTCCTTACTTTCCACCGGAGGAGCCCCAGAAATTTGTGAATGTTCACAAGATCTTCGGAGCGAGCAACGTGACCAAGCTCCTCAACGAGCTCCTCCCTCACCAAAGAGAGGACGCGATGAATTCCCTCGCCTATGAAGCTGAGGCGAGAATAAGAGATCCAGTTTATGGCTGCGTTGGCGCCATCACTTTCCTGCAGAGACAAGTCCAAAGGCTCCAAAAAGAACTTGACACAGCTAATGCCGACTTGATCCGCTTCGCCTGCAACGACATCCCCCCAGCCTTGCCTCAAGCACCGGGTACAAGCTCATTTCAACCCCTCACTCCCCGTAACAGGCTACCGGAGTTTAACGGAAGGAATATTGGCAATGAAGGAGGAGAATTCTATCAGGTCCCCGGTGCTCTTCCTTATTCTTTCCCTTGGAACGATGCCTCTTCAGGTGATATCAACGATGGAGGAGGAGAAGGCGGTATGTGAACAACCAAGACAATTTCAGAGCCTACTATGCTCCATTTAGGGTTTCCTATATGGAGACATATGGTCGTTCTGGGATGAGTGCTTCTTTTACATTTTTAAGTGAAGGTTTGGTCTATGGCTAACCTCCATCTTCAGGACTTTCCTATGTCCGAGCTAGAGATGTCGCTTAGCTTTTCTAGTTTTCATTGTTTGTCTCGGTGATGGTGGGAGCAGTGAGACTCTATTGTTGTCCTGCTAATACCTGGGGTTTTAAAGTGTATCATCTGCATTGTACTATTTTATGTGTTGTGGTAATTTGAACCTAAATAAGGGTAATACAAGCCATATACATATATATGACTGTTAAGCCTTTGGTTGAGTCATTTGTGCAGAAGTAGCTCTAGGCATGGGTGCATGTGGAGCTGCTCTTCCCTTTCTGTCATTGTCTATGCTTGAAGAATAAGTGAAATAAAATAGTTTTTAAGTGTTAAGGTCCAACTTTAAAGAGGATTCTCTTACATTTCTACTTTGTTCTTGAGGACCACTGGGTTTACTTTTATTCACTAACTCATTCATCGCAGCAGGTCTCAAATGCCCATAATTCAACCCCAAGTTGGAAGAATAAATTAACCATTATTTTCTTCTGTACATAGATTCGAATTTGATGCAGTGTATGTCCATGAATCTATACATGCTTTTATTATATAACATCACGTAATTTTTATATACATGTTTTTAACATCAGCCGGCTGACCTTCCAGCAATAGCATGTACCTTTTTTAATATTAAAATGACCTATACCTAGTATGTAGAGCGGTTGGTGTCGCAACTTTTTTTTTCTTTCTGCTTTTTGATTAATATCTTATTGAAACCTAATTAATCTTTAACTAGGTTTGTACTAAAAAATAGGAAGGGAAAGGGACGCTGTGAGTTCCAGTATCTTTCCTAGCTAGTGAGACCCAGTAGCTATAGCTCCACACCTCCCATTTCCATGGCAACAGGTGTTTCAAACAGTGAGTCACAATCACTGTCCTCATTGGATGCCATATGTAAAAGCATTTGTTTACCTGTTGTTTGCATGGAGAAGGGTTTCTTTCAGCTTTTCTTTCACCAGCCATTATTTCACTATTAGGAACTAGGATGCCCCCAACATTTACTACACTAAAACAGTCTAATCTCATACACAAAAGCCATCAACACTCTCTCTCTCGTAATTTTGTTTTCTTCCTGTATATTTTTAATATGAATTGAAACTGATCTCTAAAACAACAAGGAAGAAAACGAGAAACGTAGGTGGCTTAGGGTTTTTAGTTTTTTACAGAACAACAATACATGCACCCTAAAATTCTGGGTTTTTGAGAGGTCAGCAACAGGCAGTGGAAAGCATATGTCGTTATCAAAATTATCTAAGCCATGCTCTTAAAAACGGAAAGGTAGGGGTCTCCACTCTTTTTTTCCCTCCAAATTAACTAAGCTGTCGTTTTCAACATTAGACAGTGTTAATTTAGGTTTAAAGAGTCTTTAGACTTCAGAAAATTTCCTAAATTTCTTCACAGCCAGCCACACGCTTGGATTCATTAAAAACACGACGATCGATCAATCATCACAATCGTCTTCTCTGTTACTCACATTTTTTGTCATCTTCTCTCTCTCATCTTAAATCTTTTAAGAACATATTTTATTACTACTATATAATGTATCTGTATTTCTACAGACACATGAAGATGATAAGATACTATACGAATGCAGAAAAAGTTAAGACTGTCCTCCTCTCATGTGTTTTTTGCACCTCTATCATTCACTCATATGGGGTCTGGCAGTTCACGTCTTTTGTCATCCAATTCATCGCCTCCACTATTTTTAGTCGTTTGGCCTCATTTGCAGCATCACCGTGTTATACTATTGTGATTTACGATAGTTGGAGCTGTGGTGGTACTGTTGGGTTTCAGAATGTACTGAGATCAGTATGGCTTTTATCTTTCCCTCAAGTTGAAGTTTATCTGCGGCTGCTCTGTGGTTTTGTGTTTGTTTGCTGAGCTGATGAATGAAAAAGTGAATACTGAATCGAGAATCCATCAAAAACCATACCCCATCAATCTCTCTGCAAAACGTGAAAAAGAAGCAATGAGCAGGTGAAAAATGACAGTGTTGTTTAAATAAATAAATAAACAAAACGGGGAAAGGACAAAGAAATACAGACAGGGGGGTGTGCGGGTCCAAGTGATGAAGCCAACAGCGGTTGCCCCCCCCCCCCCCCAATCCACACAAGCAAGTCTTACAGATGTTTTTTTCCGAACCGGGAGGGTCTCATCATTTGTATCTTTTAGGTTGGATGTTCTTGATTTTCCAAGACACTGACCATTTGTTGGGATTTGGGAATCTGGCCTTTTGCTTTTGCTTTTCTTTCCCCTTCCTGCATCGCATCGCATTGCATTGTCCCATGGAGATTGCTTGTTTTTCCAGGACACCCAACATTCTTTGGATTTCGGAATATGGGTTTTCGCTCTTCAATCACCTTCTGCATTTCTCATCAACATTTCCAAATTGTTACAGAATATGCCACTGACAAATTATAAAAAAAAAATTACACAATTTCATACTGGGTTATTCACAGTAGATTTAGCATGGTTATATCACTTGTAAGATACGTAGCAAATATAATTCCTCGCTCCTTCAGCTGATAATATTTTTAAGTAATTTTTTTACTCAGAGTTCTTGATTCGAACTAATATTTTCTTTGTCGATAAAGCAAGTGGTTAAAAAACTCTCGGTTAACATTTCTCATTTCTCTTAGATAATGAATTCAAAATCTATTAGGATCAAAATTCTCATTCTTTAAATAATAATTATTCAGAAAAAAAAACTTGTATTTCTTTTGAGAATACAATATGTCTTACTATTACATCCAATACTAATTGATATTATCTTAAGTTTATAGTTATATTTTTCTAATTTTAAATTTACAGAATTGATATGTGAAGTGCAACGTTTCATTCATTCCAAATTAGGGCATCATCTTGTCTCATTTGTAGGAAAAATGATTGTGCCTCAACTTAATTTCTACAATTTTGACCCAATTTGCAGTACTCTATTATTTTCCTGATAACTTCTGATATTTATCATTAGTTTACTTTAAGGGGGTGTTTGGTTCAAGGAATGTGGGATTCCCATGTTTGGTTGGCTGGGAATCTCATTTCCGGTAATGTTTTATTATCAATAGTAGATTTTTTGGGGTATATTACCGGGAATGTCATTACCTCCCTTCCCTTAGGTATTGTAACATTACCGGCATTTTGGACTAAAATGCCCTTAAATTTTTATTTTTTTCCAAAATATCCTTCTTCTGTCATTGAATAATAAAAATTCTACGAAGGTTAAATTACAAATTTATCCTTAAATTATTTTAAATTTACAAAAAAAGTCTATAATTAAAATTTTATATGAAGTTTAGGGGTTAAATTTTTTTTACCCTTTCATTAAATATTTTTTATATTTTTTAATTTTGTAAAAAAATTATATAAATATTATGAATTTAATTTTTTAAAGAAAATATATAAATATTTTACAATTTGTAATATTATACAAATATATAATAAGGACAATTTGGTCAAATATACATTCCAATAATCTTTTATTCCTTTGACCAAACACGGTAATCTTACATTCCTGCTAAACCAACCAAACACAAAATACAACATTCCCAGTAATCATATTCCCTGGTAATATTTTATTCCCACTGGTAATCTTATATTCCGTGAACCAAACGCACCCTAACAGTAACCAATGTTTTCCAGCGGCATCGCTGCTGTGACAAAAGAAGGCCAGTTGTCTTGTTCTTGTTTAGGATCTCAGGGATCATTGAATTTTAGTTATTTGTCCTCCATATATATATATATATATATATATATATAAACATTGAGATTATAAAATAGTAATTATAATCACTTTTTAAAAAAAATAAATATTTATTTGTATACTCTTTAATAATATTTATTTTATTTATTAAATTCGGCGAGAAACTAGAAAACAACTTCAGATTTGTAGTATTGATCTTGAGTACCGAGAAACTAGAAAACAACTTCAAGACCTCACAGATTCTCAAAATTGAATCCACGATTCCTTTGGAGAATACTAGCAGGTCATTAACAAAACAGAGGTTTGTAAGCTTGATCCTGTGGCACTTCGGAAAACCAAAAAACACCATACTCTGCAGCCTTATCCAAAAGTCAAGAAAGAACATTCATTATGATGACCAATAAATAGGGGGAAAAAGGACCTTTCGCTCCACTAAAAACTCAATCCATCCTCCATTTATAGAGATAGAGAACTTTGGCGTAGTTACACAAACTTTGATCCAACGTATTATCACCCTCGGCATATCCAAAGCCTCCAAGATAGACAAATGGAAACTCCAATCAACAGAATCAAAAGCTTTCTGTAAATCCAGCTTAAGAACACACCTTGAAGAGCAAGAGGACCTATTATAGCCCTGCACCAACTCCTGAGCCATCAGTGTATTATCGATAATAGCACTGCCGAGATGAAAGCACTCTGACTACCAGAGATAACCCCAGGAATGAAAGCCTTTAACCTGTTCACAATGATTCGAGTAATGCACTTATAAATAACATTACAACATGAAATGAGTTTGAAATCTTGAATGCGATTAGGATTCAATTTCTTAGGAACCAAAACTAAAGCGGTGTTATTCAAGGCATGCAGCAACTTTGAATGATCAAAAAAATAACTAACAGCCTTGATTACCTCCTCACCCACAATAGACCAAGCCTTTTTAAAGAAATGGGATATGAACCCATCCGGCCTCGGAGCCTTATCTAGATGCTAACTGAACATAGAAGCTTTAATCTCCTACTTTGTCACCCTGCTACAGAAAACATCATTTGCAGTAGAAAAAAAATGTGCATCCCAACAACTTCCTTAAGACCTCAATACTAGCCCTAACAACCTCTTCATTTGGTTTACCTAAACTATTTTTAAAAAAACTAATAGCTTCAACCGAAATATCTTCATGAGTGTCAAGCACTCGACCCGAGTCATCAGTGAAAGTACGAATAAGCTGACGATTCGACCTAACAGCCACCATAGAGTGGAAGAATTTTGAATTAGAGTCTCCCTCCCTCCTAAACTCAACTCACCCTCGACTTCTATCTGAAGAAATTCTCCTCTACACTTTCCAAGGTTCTCAACTTAGCAGTCACGATCCTCTAATACTCAGGATCACTTGCCCAACAGTTAAAAAAACGAAAAGGCTTAGGGATCAAAAACTGCACCCCCTTAGTCCTCACTAGCCCTGA